GTTGATTGTAATGGTTCTTATTTCGATTGAAAAAGTTTATTCTAAGCGGAGTTATGTTCGTTTAAAGTTATTGGTTAAAAACCGCAAGAACTTTCTTTACGACCTAATACATTAGTCGCAGCAAAAGCGAATTTTGAGATTTGAAATTGACAGACTGGCCTGAAGAGTTGTTGATACCGACAAATCAGGAATACTTCTGATACGGTTAGAGTGAGCCTTCAGGACTTGAAGGGCAGGGAGATCAAAGATTGACGAGGAAAGAGTTGTTAATTCGTTTGAACTCAAATTTAATTCTTCCAACAACGTGAGTGACGCCAATGCACTGAAAATCAATAAATGATCGCCACGGAAGTGGTCACCACGAGACGAGCCAGCTTTTTTTGAAATCGTAAGCATTTAAGAGATTGTAGAATAAACGTACATATGCATGGGTATGTTATTTAGAATTAATTATCATTTTTCGGTTTATGATTCGTAAGCTTTCCAATAAAGTATCAATCACTCTACCACATTGTAATGCATTTCAGTCAGTTTGTAAGAGACTCATTTTCGATTTCCCTCACCTATCGTCAAAATATCTCAGTTTGTTATGTGAAATGTCCAGAACTTTTAATCGTCTCATCTTCATCAAAGTAGGCACAATTGACTCGTCTAAACGGTTGCCGCTCAAACGAAGAGTATTGATGCGATTACGGTCCATGTTCCCGTTGACATTCGGTATAGTGATGAGACGATTGAATGAAGCGTTTAAATGCCGCAATCTGCATTTTAAAAAACTCATTGACCAGCTTTATCTTTATTGGAAAAAATTGGACTTACCTGTTACACCTACGGAAAAGCTCTCGTGGCAATTCTGTCAACTGATTACCGTATAGGACACAGGAGATTAGGCTCAAATTCTCAAGAGGCTCCGGTAGTGCCTTCAATTTGTTGTTTTTGCAACAAAGATAACGCATCGACATCACGGAAAGGAGTCTAAACGTCAAAATATTTCATTTTGTTTGACAAGATCTGCTTCATGAAATTTACCGGTTTGGAAGAGAGGTGAGTCGATTGTTGTTTACACGCAAACAATCAATCTGTGGCAGGTCACAGATCCAGTCTGGCAGTGAGTCAAAGTTGTTGTAGGAGACATCGATAAATACAAGGTGAAGAGGTACAGGCATGATTATCAAGCAGTCAAGCACTGAAAACTTGCGGCAAGTGAATTCCGCTAATGTTCTGAGTTCCCAGCATGGATAATGCAGTTTTTCAAAGCATAGAAAAGGGCAAAGGCAATCATGGAAGAGGCACAGTACTGCACAAAAAAAATCGGGCATTACATCGAAGTGATCACTCACTATTGTGATGTGCATGGAGATGAGTGAGGTTCTGACCATTCAAGTGCAGTGAAGTTAGCTGCAATCGCTCACAGTGCAGCACCTGAAATCGGCTTCGTTTTCCTCTAAAGTTGGGTATCAACATTAACATATTTTGAAAATACCGAAATAATGGATTTGCCGTAAATGGCACCGTAATTTAGCGTAAAAGCCTGATATATGTACATGACTTGGAAGAAACTTTCATACTCCTTCTTTGCGGGTTGCAAGCACTTATCACTATTTTTATATCGCTTTTTCTTTCAATAGGTGATGGTTTTGACTTTGCAAAAATTATTTGAGTTTAAAATTAAATTTATTTTGATTTTGAGATATTCAATGTAATCTCTTCTAATTTCATGAGTTCCAATTATTTGCACCCTATTTCTTCACAAGTGCATTGCTCTCATCTAGATGGAAACTGTGTTGTTTTTGTAAATCTACCTTTCTCGCACCCATTTACGCTCGCTCCTAATCAACACATATCACTACTAATGCATACAGGGCTCGGGCACTTAAAGAGGAAATTACCAAGAGGACTCATTAAATAGGGGAAATTCCATATATACTCTGAACTTCCTAAGATATCACGTATATATCCGTGGAGTTGATTATTACTATTCTCTTTCAGTGCATAATATGATCCTAGAAATCTATAAAAAGAATTTTCTCTCATTCAAACCATACTTCTTCCTAATTTATGTCTTGCAGCCATCCGCATTGGAGGGTGGCTGACGATTTGAGATTTTTTCGCAACGTTTGGTTCAAAGAAAGATGAACTGAGCATAAGTAAGTACAATGCGCAGCGAACTATAATTTCAGAATTCGAAAATTCTCAGAAATAAAAAATTGGCGTCTTTTTGATTTACGAAGACATGAGATCCTGGATGGCTAAACACTTTTACCCTAATTTCTCTTTCTTTTTACTGAAAAGTTCCTCATATCCAATACAGGTAAATCGGTTTACTTGAAGTGTTGAACATGCTAAGCAAAAGCAAGCAGTGCTTGTTCCGTTTCCAAATTTTTTCAGGTTATATAGGGACCCTGTAATTTGCGTTTTCTGAAAGACTGTTAAGCGCTAAATAACCGGTACCATGCTTGCCGGAACCATTTGTAAACAGACTAGACATGCTTCAGCATTCACAGACCTGCAGTGATGGTATATTGGTTAGGTGAACTGTGGATACATTGGCGTTGTCACGAATATCAAGAAAAGTCAGCTGATCAAAACATGAACTTGGAA